GAAATGGCATAAAAATACCAAGAAACACTTCACTAAAAAACCTGGAAATGTCAAACAAAACCCTCAACTGTTTTGCAGTTTTATACAGCCAAGCTTAAGAAATTCTATTCAAATAATTTACAGTCATTATTGCCACAAGCAGATGGAACACGCTCCAGTGAAGCATCACCTTACAGAGCTAAATTCACAAATTCAGCCGAATTAAGCATTAGGTCCTTAATCCTCCATAGCATCTCCTGTTTAATTCTGCATTCATTGGCACGTTTCTGTGCAAAGCCCAGGAAATGCATGAGCCTTTGCAGAATCTGGGCCTATGTTCTGAAAACAGGAAAACAGCACTTTGAAGATTTCTACCATTTGCATTCAGTGAGGAAGAAGCGTGACACAGCACAAGACTTCCTGGAGCTGCCACATTCTCTAAACAACCCATGTATAAAGTAGGGGTTTGGTGTTAATGTCACTGGTGAGACCCTGCCATGCCACGGACCAGCAACACAAAAGCTGTTGCAGGTCCCACACGTGCCATCGGAGGGAAGTGAATGCAAATGGGTAGAGAGAAGCAGACGGGAAACACCAGGGGTAAACACAGCAACCACTGCCTCAGCACTGCAAACACCGGGAGATTAAACACAATAAACCTCAGGAGCCTGGTAACAAACAGGGTGTTTCAATGAGGGATTCAGGGAGGAGCTCTGTAGACCTGAAGGCAACGATCAGCACAGACCAAAGCCGGGAGTGCCCCTCACCTCACATCAGGCAACAGAAACTGCAGCAGTTCCCGATACCGTGACACTAAGCAAGGGATGCTCAGTGAATGAAGTGCCAAAGCAGAAGCCCAAAACTGAGGGGTACGCTTGGAGCAACAGGGAAACACCCAGAAAGATGCAAAGGGATGACACAGGTATAAAAGCAGCAAGGATGAAAATTACACAAACAATTGTCAGGAAGATTTGGGTAGAGACAGCACTCTAAATGAATAAGCACCACAAGAAAATGTTAAAGCCAGAGGAAACACCATCAAAGTAACCAAGGCTGACAGAGACAGAGGTTTAGACTTTAACTTAAGAGATGTTACAGAAGTTTCAAGAGGTACAAGAAAACGCTGGAGGGAACATGAGGAAACAACTGAAATTCAGAGAAAGAGTACAGCAATGCCAAGAGAACAAAACTGAAACCAGAAGGATCGAGGATAGAGATGCTTAACTCCCAGCTAGAGATGTCCTTGGGTTTTCAGCACTGTAACATGAAGAAAGCAAAGCACAAACAGGTCAGGACAGAACTGGGAAAGAAAAAGCAACCTCCATGCATTCAGTGAACCTCAACTGGTTTTACACAAGTTGGTCTGAGGACCAGGTAGGAAAGCAAAGAGCACACCCCAGACAAACCTGCCTCAGGAAGAAGCAGCTGGGTACCAGTGCCTCACTTCAACTCTATAAAGGTAAAGTGAGGATGGATGACACCTGAGGAAAACATGTTAAAAGCATGGCTTTTAAGGAAGTGACAGCAACATGTTCCCTTTTCCCAAAGGGGCAGGATTTAGAAGCACAGGAGGACAGCAGAGCTGGATGGAACCCACTGCAAGCCCTGCACCCTCTTTGATTCCAGTTACTGGATTTCTTGGACCACTTTTCTCTATTTCACACTATGAAAATCCTTTACTCAGAACAGCAAATAAAAGGAGCTGTTCTATAGTGTTCTTCCACTCCCTTTGATCAAAATAAGGGAAATCCAAAATTTACACAGAAAAGTGAAGACCTTCAGAACTCTGCTGAATAGCCTAAAAACAGGAATGCAGTGAATTTACTCCTTCCCTCACAACTAAAAATATTGGACATCAATTGTGCAGAAAACGATCAAGGCTTCAGATTTGCTCATGTTTCAACACATCTGCTTTTCTGTTTCAGTCCTATCTGTGCAGGACATTCTGCCTTTGACACCCTTCTGTCCACCCATGTGAATCCACCCACAAAGCAGCTCCCAAGGAACAACGCAGAACTCAAGGATACCGCAGCTTTCCCAGGCCTTGGCAAGGCCCTTTGGAACGAAAGGAAACGCAAGAAGGGAAGGAAAAGCAGATGACAAGAGGATGGAAAAAGGGTTGTTTTGTTTTGGTGCTTTAAAAAACAAAAACACCCTCAGCCTCTTCCTTGGGCACTTCTTGTCTCATCAGTGCTCGCTGGCCTTTCTCTTCCCAAACTGTGATATTTAACGTGTTCGGTACAGAAACAGTCTGAGGATACCCCATGTAAACTCAGCACTAATCAGCCCCACGGCCAATAAACTCTTCACCCTCATAGTTTATTTGCTGCTAAGCCTTGGCCTGCGGCCTTGGAATTCATTCTGCTGCACTACAGCTATTTCCTTGTAAACAGGAAGCCCCCTAAATTTGCATGACAGTAAACTCATTTACTTCATTTGCTCTTATCTCAGCGATATAAAACGATATAAAACGGTGCCTACAGGTGTGCCAGGCTCCAGCAAAGAGACAAAGTGGGACAGGGGGGAAAACCTTTGTGACCTATCCCCAGGAGGTAACGTCAGCGTCAGCGCACAGGATGCTGTGGCTGGGCAGTGCTTGCCCGCTGGAGATAAACGGGCAGGGAACGCATTCCTGCTGCAACAAGGCAGAGCCGTGGACTGTCAGGCGTGGATGTGATATTCCAGTGACCTTCGTGCTGTCCCGCTGGCAGCCAGGAGCCGAACGCCAGGATGCTGGAATGCCAGGATGCTGCTCGCAGCATTACAAGCCGGTGCTCGTGCTCCTCCGAGGAGCTGCTCTCACACCCCAAAACGAAAATACATCTTTGGAAACGTTGTTTGATTTCAAACTCGTATAAGGGAGGACGTTGTGTGCTGTATTTTTTTTACTGTTACTATATCAACCTGCATTAACCAGCCGATTTATGTAATTTTAAATGAATCACTTTGCCAGCGATACCGAATATTTAAGCATAGCCAACACACTGTGTCTGTTTTAATGAGAGGGACCAAAAAAAAAACCCCGAGCAGAAGCCAGCAGGAAGACATCTGACACCAGAATAACGGTCACAATTTCCTACTGCATGAGGAAATCCCTGGTTTCAGTTAGAAGCTGAGAAGTTCAGTCATTTCAAGCAACCTAAGAGCCGTTTGTGGTCCCAGGCTTAGGTAAGTCTGCTCTCATTTATGTCCACGCTTCCTCTTGTTCATTTCCTGAGCTGTCCTGTTTGTCCCACAGCACCCTGGCACCACTCACAAACCAATCCCTTGCTGAAGGCTCCTCGCCTTCTGCAGAGCACGACAGTCCGGGGGGGATGGCAAACAACCCTTTTCCTTTAACATCGCATGTAAGCTGCAAACAGGTTCTTCCACACGCAGCTCCGGGAGCGAGGCGTTGCACCCACCTCACCCTTCACCTCTCCTCCTACCCCGTCAAACTTCCTCTTGCGCCCGGCTGCTGCTTCCCGAATGAGGCTGAACCATATCAGGGCAACGACCAAGCATCGGCCAAATGCGGGTCCTGGAGGAGGAGAGCACTGTGCTGCGGGCCCTCCAGGCCTGTGCTGGGCGACGAGGCTTGCTCTGTGCTCTGTGCAATGGGATATCGGTACCAGCAGCAGCTTCTGAGCCTCCCCACAAGCTCCAGCAGTGCTGCTGTTTGTTCATGTGGGTGCTGGATGGACCATTCCTCCTCTGCACCCCTCCACATCCCACCTTCTACCTCCTCAGAGGGGTCCCATCCCTGCTGCAAAGGCAGAACCCCGCTGCACATCCCTGCCACCGAGGACAGCAGCACTGAGGAATGTGAAGCTAACAGCACTCCAGTAAACACACAGCACCTCAGGCTAACAGCAGGCTAAACGTTATGGGTATTATTTTCACGAGCATCTCCACACATCAGGAGAAAACCAGGCACCTGCATCTGCCCAAGAATCCATCCTCAACTGGACCCTAAAAACCACTGCCAACCCCATTTGCCTGAGGTTTCACACCCTTGTAAGGGGGATTGGATTAACACAGGCCGAGCACCCCCGTGCCCCTCACCTTCCACACTGACCAGGATTCAAGCGTAAAGGCAGAAAAACAAGTGACCAAGTGCGAGAGGGCTTCAGGGAGCCCCCGTTCGCGACAGAGCTGGGCTAGGCCACCAGCAGCCATGCAAACTGCCTACACGCGTTGCAGTGCATGGGGGGGGTTGGTTTTTTCTGCTGCAATCTGTAGCTTGCCTGCTAAAACATCATTTTGCATATATACATATATGTATATATACACACAGAGAGCCGTGAAAGGTCACTTTTCATTGCAGCGGTAAATAACTAAGCGATGCTCAGGTGATTTTATAACCCGTGCATACCCAAGGGCTGTCGTTGGGCAAAAAAGATGCTTTTCATAGAATCCCAGCCTGGTTTGGGTTGAAGGGACCTTAAAGCTCATCCAGCTCCAACCCCTGCCACGGGCAGGGACCCCTTCCACTGGAGCAGCTTGCTCCAAGCCCCAAGCAAACCACCCCAGCCCGTCAGGACCCCCAGTGACGGGAGCCGGCCGTGAGCCCGAGCCGTGCCCCGGTTCACGGCTAAGCACACCCCAGTTCTGCTCCGAGAGCTGCCTGCGAAGGGAAAACCCTCCCGCCGCGCCTGTCCCCGCATCTCCCTGCTCTGTGGTCAAGCCACCGAGAAAACAGCTCTGCGGAACACAGCAGCGAGCGCGATGCCGCCCGGCTTTACCGTCCTGCGGAGCTCACGGCCGCAGCTGCCTCTCACCCGCTCAATGAAGCACCAAGTTGGGGCTCGACCAAACGCCCGGCCTCGGGGTGCTCCTTCCCCCGGAGCAACGGCGCTCTCCGCGCCTCCACCTGCCCGCAGGCTCCCCATAAGTTGCTCCCAGCCCTCGCACCCACCGGCCCCGCTCCCCGCTCGGGCCGCCCGAGGCCGCCAGACCGTTATGTTCAGCACCGCGGAGCCGGCGCGGAGGGGAGGCTGTCGGGCCGCAGCCGGGGCCCCGCGGGCCGGGCCGGCCAGTACCTGGGCTCGGGCAGGGTGATCTTCTTGCTGGCCCTGGCCGCCGGGGTGCTCTTGCTCTTCTCCATCGCCATCAGGTAGCTGACATCGGCCAGCACCGCCTCCAGGTCCGCCATGTTCCCGCTCCCGCCGCCGGGCTGCAGATGGAGGCTCCGCCGGGGCAGCCGCCCCCGAGGCAGGGGTTGGCGGCGGGCGGGCGGCGGCTCCCGCTCCCCCTCCGCCGGTACCGCCGAGCGCCTCCCGGCTGCGCGTGTGCGAGCGGGGCGGGGGGGGGGGGAGCAGCGGCCGCCTCCCCGCCCTCCGCTCCCGGGGCTCGCCGCCGGCCCTGCGCGCCCTCAGCCCGCGGCCGCCGGGGCGGGCGGGCGGGAAACCCCCCCCGGGCCGCGCACCGCCCCCGCCGCGCCGCAGCCGCCCCTCAGCGCTCGCCCGCCCTCGCCGGGCCCATGGCGGCGGCAGGACCGCCCGGCGCGGCCCCCCCCACCCCGGCTCGCAGCCTACGCGGCCCCCGCGGCGCCGGGCGGGCAGCTCCGGGTGCGCCCGCGGCGCTCGGCGGCCATGGGCGGGCGGCGCGGCCGCAGGGGCTGCCCGGCGGCGGCTGCGAAAACCCGGACCTGGATTCGACGGCGGGGCCGGAGCCGGGGTGGGATTGGGGCGGGTGGGGGGGGACCGCAGGGTCCCTGTTGTTTGCTTCCCGGCGTGCGGGTGGCACCGCATGGCTCAGCCTCCTGGCAGCAAGAGCTGAATGTGGCCCCATGGACACGGCCCACCGTGGGGTGCCAGCACCCCGAGGCACGTTGCCGTGGGATGGATGTCCTCAGAGCTCATTGAAACCCGGTGTGAGAAAAGTGGGATGTGAACAAATGCACCTGTGTGGAGCCCCGCTGGTGCTCATTGAAGCGCTGTGGGTGCTCCCGCACCCAGCGGAGCCCCGCGGTCCTGGTTGGAGCTGTAGTAGTAGCTCTGCTGCAGCCAAGCAGATATGCAGATTTCAGCTGCTTTCTGCTCTGGATTTCGTCAAATATGTCACGAATAATTGGCTCAATGAAAGGCTAAGTCAATGACAAGTCTGAAGTTTGAAACTCAGCTTGTTTTGAGCTCTTTTCAAGTGCCGCCACTCCTCCTTCCTACAGCTTTATGAAAGTTAATGATCTGATTAAAGCAAGGTAGAGCACACAGCCGGGAGGGTTCCACCGAGCGGCTCCTCAGGAGCCGTCTGAGAACCTGCTCGTTGTGGGAAACGTGAATTTAACCCAGTGCTTCCCACCGGAGCGGGTCCCATGGGGAAGGTCTCTCCTCCGCCAGGCAGGTTCCTCTGTGCCTCCTCTGGAGTCATCTCAGCGTTATAAAATGAGGGACTCACAGAACCCCAGCCTGGTTTGGGTTCAAAGGGACCTTGAAGCCCATCCAGCTCATCCAGGGACCCCTTCCACTGGAGCAGCTTGCTCCAAGCCCCTGTGTCCAACCTGGCCTTGAGCACTGCCAGGGATGGGGCAGCCACAGCTTCTCTGGGCACCCTGTGCCAGCGCCTCAGCACCCTCACAGGGAAGAGCTTCTGCCTAAGAGCTCAGCTCAGTCTCCCCTCTGGCAGGTTAAACCCATTCCCCTTGGCCTGTCCCTGCTGCCATGGAGAGAACTGCTTTTCATTTCCTGAGCTGGGAACGCACAGAAGCAGCAGTAGCGCTGTTGGTAGCATTGCTAAACACCATCATCCCGATGCAGCCGCGCCGAGGAAAGGGAGAGCAAACACAAACCCATCACTGTCTGCCTGTGCCACCTCCAAGGAGGGCCTTTTGTGGTCTAAAACATTTAAACGACTTTACAGTGATGTTGGTGATAGCAATAACAGCCACAGAAATGCCTTGTCGGATTCCAGATGCTGTGCTTTTTATTCCCTGACACATTTGCACCATTATCATCTGGGTATTATTGTAATGGACCCTCCAAAGATGTTCTTGGTGACAGTTTCTAGGAAGTCATGTTTGGTGATGGCCAATACAGAAACCTAATTGAGAAACTTGGTCTCTTCTTTCTGCTTTGGGGTTTCCATCAGTGCGAACCAATTGTGGCAGAAGCACCTACAACGAAACCAGTGATGGGTTATAAGGAAAGGTGTCACTGTCACCATCGCCTGTTGGCTCCAGCAGTATGGAAACACACATCCTGCAGTTCTATGTGCAGAGGTTGTAAAGGTCACTTGGGTGGGCTTCTTTTAATTATGGAGTGGAAGCAACCCTGATTGTTTTCCTCGTCCTGCAGCGAGCAGAACAGGTAATGCAGGCATCTGACACAGGGAAGTGCCATTCCCCCGGTGCAAGTCGGCAGCCTTCCTTGGCACTGTTTGTACCCCAGGTTTCGTGTTTGCTCTGTATGTGGGGTTTGCCTTTGTGTGTGCTGGTTTGTGGTGGTTGCGGTGTTTGTGTGTGGTATTTGTGTGTTTATAACCAGCGCACGGTGAGTGCTCCCCAGGGTGAAGGGAGCCCTGTTTCCATCGATGCCAGGGTTAGCAGAGCGCAGAAAACGATACTCCTGCACGCTGTGAATGCATTTAAATACCTCCTGACATTTCTGTGCATGCTGATTGATCCTGTTCAATCAATTCAAGCGTGTCTGGAGGCCTGTCTGGGTTGAGTGCCGGGTTTGCAGAGCCAAGAAACCTTGCCTCCCCTCTGGCATTCCTTCCTTGCGAGGAGCCAGTTTCTCCTACCATCTGTACGAGATTTAAATGTTTAATTTTGCACTGCTCTGCTTCGCGGGGTGACAGATGATACTACAGAGAGCAGCGTGTCTGAAGCACATTTATTAGTGTGCCCTATTCCAACACCATCCCAGCAAGATAATGGTGTAAATGGGCACAGGAGGAGGGAGGCAGAGCTGCAGACAGGTCAGAGCTCTGCCTCTGTGCATGGCTAACAATAATGATATACCTACGTGTATTTGTTCTCTGGAGAAGATTATTAAAGGCTGTTTTTTGAGTATTTCTGATCTATTACCAGAAATACACATAGCTTAAGTTTAAGAGCATTAAGCAGTGCTTAGCTCAGTTCCCTCTGTGGGATGCTGCTGTCTACGGAGAGAGCAAGCCAGCATCCAGAATCCCACCTCATTCCTTGCGCCTCCTCAGCAGTGCTGGTAGGGATAATGCATTTATCAGTGATGGATCCCGACGGGATCTGACTCTCTGTGGCTTGTTTGTGTAACAGCCAAGCAGAGAGGCTGTGTTTGCTGCTTCCTCTGCTCCTGGCAGCATTACGTGGGGTGCGACCATGCTCGGCTGAAAGGGAGAGGGCAGAAATCCCTTCCCTGCATTGCCTCCGCTGAGCTGCTCTCTCCTCAGAGCACAGGGTTACCTGGAGGTAAAACACATAACGAGGTTGTCTGAGGATTCATTAGTAAGCAATGGTAAAGTGCCCAGGGGACAGCAAGAGATACATAAATGCAAAGTATTCCCCATGGGACCTGGGCAGTGTCAGCCCTCCTCAGCCTGCTGCCTTCTCTCATCTCACCCCAAGGCAGGGACCAGAGCCACCGCTCCCACACTCACCCAGAGGGATGCAGGGACAGGGATGCTTTTAGCCCAGCACCCCAAGGAAACAGCCTCACTCTATCCCCTCTGCCTGTTGGGTTTGCTGGGCTCTGGGAGCCTTTGGACCCTCTCCGAACCCCGTGCAGAGCAGGGTGGGAGGCACATCCAGCACAAGCCCACAGCCATTCCTCTGCAGCACCCCCACCGAAGCTGGAGTTCCATCCCATCTCATGCTATGCTAATAAGCAGTGAGAGGCAATATGAAAAACAAATAGAGTAATTAATGGCCATTTCTGCTGCTGCTTTTATTCACCGACTATTCCAGAAGGAGCAATTTTCCAGCAGACAGCCTCTGCCTTCACCGTGCCGATGCATCAGGCACCCTGAATCTCAAGAGGAGAATGAGCGCTGCAGCTCTGGCCTCCTGGAGAAACACAGAGGCTCTTCTGCATCTCTACACATCCTTCCAGCTCTCTCCCAAATACCCTTAGTAAAGGTACTTCATCCATCTCTGACAGGTAAATCACACGATGCAGTTCATCGCCATCATGGCCCTGCTTGTAACTAGCTCACATGATGATGAGGCCAAGTTTGAACCAGGAAACAAACGGCAATTCAATTCTCAAAAACATTATCACCATCAAACATTCATACTTGAACAGTCTGATTGGTGATTATAACGTCCAGTGGGGGCAGAGAGAAAAAGTCATGCAGAGTCTCAAGTCTTGCATGGGAAAACACAGGCACAGAGGTAGAAGTCCTTCCCTTTGCAATTGCATCACACCATTTCCCTCTTTTCACTTGTTTATTTGTGTTAGAACCAGAAATTTACTGAGTGTCAGAGTGTTTGAATCCAGCTGTTATGGGCTGAGGCCCCCATTTGTGTTCGGACCCCCAACACAAGGAGTGCTCGAGTGAGGCCAGAAGAGGCCATGGGGATGCTGCGAGGGCTGGAGCAGCTCTGCTCTGGAGCCAGGCTGAGAGAGCTGGGCTGGGTCAGCCTGGAGAAGAGAAGGCTCCTGAAGGGGAGACCTTAGAGCAGCTCCAGTGCCTAAAGGGGCTGCAGGAAACCTGGAGAGGGGCTTGGGACAAGGGCCTGTAGGGACAGGCCAAGGGGAATGGCTTGAACCTGCCCGAGGGGAGACTGAGCTGAGCTCTTAGGCAGGAGCTCTTCCCTGTGAGGGTGCTGAGGCGCTGGCACAGGGTGCCCAGAGAAGCTGTGGCTGCCCCATCCCTGGCAGTGCTCAAGGCCAGGTTGGACAGGATTCTGTGATCTACTCAGAAGAATGGAAATAAAGACCATTTATGTCTTTACTGAGCTGTAAATGGGGAGTTAACATTCTGGGAGGAACATTCGTGTGCTGAAAGACACCCTCATCCGAGGCCACCTGCAACGGCTGGATGTGACATCAATCCTAGCACCTGAACAGCCACTGCTGGCTCCACAGGCATGGCAAAACCCCAAAGCTTTCCCTTGCAAACAGGAGTGCCAGCAGGCTCTGCCTCCCAGCTGCACGCAGCCAGCGGTCCCTTCCTATGGCTGTGTGCTCTCACTGCAGCCCGATGCTCTCACACGGCTGTCAGAGCGGGTGCACTGCACACAGAAACGTTTCTAAACCTGAGCGAGGTGAGGAAACAGCTTTTGTTCCCACCATCCGCACACCTAAAAGAAGAAACACGCATCTCACCTCTCACCTGGCCAGGGCGAGCTTGAGACACGCAGGAGCAGCATCCCCAGTGCAGAGCAG